ATTTTTTCGAAGCAGAATTTGAATGCGTAGACAAACAGGTAGAATTTTAACGGACAAATTATCGTTATAACTCTGACACTTTACCACAGCTACTTTCATTTTCTCTCGTGTGTGAATATATTTTAAATAAGACAGGTGTTTATACGATCTAATTAGAGCCTAACCAGTATTACAAATAAATGTCTTCACACTGTCATTTAGTACCTTTTCAAAGTCATATTCCTTTCTATTTATAAAAGGTTTGATTGTTTTGTCGAATTATGAGCAAATCTACACGAGGGGTATCTGTTCTAGTCGTCTTTAATTTTGAAGCGAGAGATTAGTGGGAAGAAATTTAGACAACACCGCTAACTCTCAGGCTTTTCTTGTCAGACCAAATTGTTGTATTTCAACGTCACCCTTATAACGCAACCACGGCACCACATTTCGGAAGTGATGATATACAGTCCGGAACATTGACCTCTAGGCCACCCTCGGACTGTTTTTAAGAGGACTGAAGGAAATATATATATATATATATATTGTTTTCTTTCTTCAGTTTCTATAAACTATTTATTTCACTGCTGATCATAAGGCTATTCGAGAAATTCTGAAGTGTTTTACACATATGACTTTACGGTATTGCACGATGCACTTAGCTAACAAATAAGTCTTAGTAACAAGAAATTTGAAATAGAAAAGGAATGTAGAATTTAAGTGAAGTTCGAGAAAACAAAACAAACAAAAAACCTTAACTCACAAAACAAAGAACAACAAGTATTGTGGCCAAATTTTCTTTAACGACGATCTGTTTCTCTAATTTTCAGCAGTAACATAGCAAAAAACAACTAGATAGGACTAAAAGCAAGACATGTTCTACAGGCTTTCCTTAGTAGCTACTGGTTGACGTCACTGTTCTCCCCCTACCTGCAGTGTTGCGAATTTTTTAGGGTGGCTTAGATATCCACTTGTTTCGAAATGAAGTGATTAGAATTATGGTGTGGATTTTTTAAACATCTTGGTTAAGAAGTTATTTGAAAGCAATCGTGTTAGTCACGTGCCATAAATCCAGACTACTTTAGAAGTCGTCTTTAAAACAAGTTAAAACAAGGTAAAATCACTTTAAAATTAAGTGAAGAGCTAACTGTATAATGTTACAGATACTGAACAGTAGCAAGCTTACGGAATTACAACGCTAAAATTCGGGGTTCGATTCCCTGCGATGAACACAGCAGACTCCCCCAGTGTGGCTTTGCCCTAAAAACAAGCAAGCAAACAATACCTATACTGAAAGTGGAAAATAAAGAGAGAGCATGGTTTCAGAAAACCGTGCTTGATATAAAATGGACTAACAGATTTTATAATGTAATATAATAATCTCGCATACTTTATTTAGCTAGGTAAGATATTCTGAATATAACATCATTAAACTAATAAGTGAATTTTGAAATAACAAGTTCATAAATACATGTGCATTATTAAACAAGATAGAACGGGAAAAGAGGAAGTTAAATTTAATCAAAAACATGCATGTAAAAACGCAAGCCAAGCACAAAGCAATTATAAAAAAACAAAAGGTTAAATATTTTAGATACTTTGATACTTGGATTTCATGAATTTGTGAGTTAAAACATAAAAGTCGACTTTTACCTTTTATCTCTTTATGTCTTAGCTTAACACCATTTATCAGGTAAGAACCTTTGTTTTGTTTTATTCTCATAACTCCCATAAAACAAAGTATGTATAGAAATCTACATTTCACTTTTTAGATTTTTACGTCTTAATTAGCAAATTTTTTAACACCAGAACAAGGACTTATAGCTTTTTCACTTTCACATAAGCATACTCTCAAAAACACTGAATAGCTCCAGTTAGGATTGTTGCATTACAAAAACTGGTCGTCACGTAAAAGATAGGTAAAGTCGCTTATGAAGTAACTTTATGTAACATACGAAAGGTGAAGTCACTACTAAAGTTTTGTCGTCTTTTCAAAAGTTAGAACCAGAACAGGGATAGAGTGAGTACTGGAGATCAGTAATCGCATACAAGTACGAATAATTCATATTTTTATTAAAACGAATACAGGAAAAATGCTAAATATACGAATACGAATACTTAGGAATGTATTCATGACTACTTTGTCAGGTAATATAAAAGAGCAGGCGATAAGATTTCAATACTTTTATTTTATGAAACAAACGTTTTAGAAACTGAAACAAAAAATGTTAACAAATAACATTTCAATACTTTTATTTTATGAAACAAACGTTTTAGAAACTGAAACAAAAAATGTTAACAAATAACATTTCAATACTTTTATTTTCAAAATGCAATAACAAAGTTTTTGAATAAAAACATAGTTTTCAAAGAGACTTATAGATATTATAAATGTCCATTGTTCTGATAAACATCAGTCTATCAAATGTTTTGTCAGTGAGGCGGCAGCGATCAGGTCTGAGGGTTTTACTTCCGATGTTAATAAACGATCAACAGAAACAGAGTGTTTGGCTAGTAGAGATAGTGTAGGAAAGTTTTTCATGGATCTTAATATAATCTAAAGGATTACTTTATTTAGCACTGCAAGGACCAACGAGGTAGGCGTTGACCTCTGTATTCTGTGAAGATAAGGTGGCTGGTTTATTGGAGGTAGCAAATAAACTAAAGATCTTACTTCTTTTGGGAGGGGGAATTTACAGTCCTCTTTTGGTTCCACGTTTGTAGGAATATTTGTTGAGGAATGTTTCTTGACTTCTTGCTGCAGGAGCATTCAGTTGGTTTCATATACCATAGATCTAGTGAAACACCAGTGAAGTTTAAATCTGGAATTCAGTGCCGTAGCCAAGCAGAAGACACTTTGTTGCTCATACTGAGTCAGTCGGACATGAACTGATTTCTTCAGTGCAAAGACAAGATTGAAATTATATCTGGACTGTATGCTGCCAGTTTCAGTCATCAGCCCATAAACACATGACATTACATAACTGGAGGCAACAATGTTCTGTTTCTGGGTGAAATTTTTTGCGTCTTCAAAGGTGTCAGTATTGTCACCAAATCTGTAAACACAGTTCTATCACGAAAAGTAAGTTTCGATATAACAGTATCTAGATTATCCAACGTCTCCTGGGGAATCTTCAATAAAGACTTAATCATCTAAATTTC